TTAGTTTTATAACTAACGCAAGCTTTTTTAAGTCACTAAAAACTGACGTAAACCATATACATAATTGACGCCACATGCCGTGTTTTTTTGTAGTGTTCGTTTAGAGCAAGTTTGATAAATATCTAAACAATAGATTGTATATATTAATTTCTAAATTATTTTGCGATTTATTTTTTGTTTTTCAACCGGATCTTCCTTAAATAAATCCCTAATATATTGCACACAGTTTTCAAATAATGTAAACTAATTATATATTTTGAATTCAAAACAAATTATGCAGCAATAGCATATCCCTTTTAGAGATGTATTTCAAATTTTTATTTTTAGTCCAAAAATCAAATTAATTATGATTAAACAATAAAAAGAAGAATATGCAATATTTAGCTAAGGAAAGAAAGATTAATAAATTTGATAAAATATATTCGTAACTTTAGCAACATATATATTAATCTGCAAAACTCACAGTATGTATTGTATGGTATTTAAAAGTAAGCAAACAAGAATTTGGAACATGATTTTAATGGAATAAAATGAGAATAGAAATTACGAGACGGGATAGCAGGAGAACATAAATTAAAAAATCAAACTAAATACACAGCTGGTATGAGTTCAGGTTATGAGCACTATATAAAATAAATTTGTTTACATATTGTACGTAAGTTTTCAGTTACACATATTCTATTTATGCCGGATACTGGACCGTCATATTTTTATTTCACGTATACGATACGGGTTATGGGACTAAGAATTTATGACATATACATGACGGGATAGGTTTCCCGTTCCAAAATAGCTACGCCTAGCTAATATACATGAAATATAACCAAACTCAAACCGAATCTATATCCTATTTAACACATATAATCAAACTATTAGAAATGTTTTGATTAGTTTAGAAAATAAAAAAAGTAACATCATTTAACTTTTGCAACTAAATTATATCTTAGTTTTATCTTAAATATAATTTCGCACGTACGTGTAGGTCAGGATCTTAAAATATAACTATGCACTAACGCAACTGAATTTCGTTCATTACTCTAATTTTATAATATTTATACTATTATAAAATTCACTAACACAACAAAATATTTTATATTTTTAAAATCTATATAAAAATATTTTTGCACGTAGGTGTGAATCTAGATCTAATACACTAAAATATATATCATAGAAACAACGAAATAATCTATATTGAATTAAAATTTGTTAGAATTTTTTTTAAAATATGAAACCCCGCACGTATGTGCGGGTCAAGATCTAGTGTTTTATAATTTACAAGCAAAAAAAAAGAAAAACATTACTAAGCTTTAACGGAACAAAAACTATAAATCTATTTGTACAATCTAAAACTGAATAAAAAAAAAGATATATAAATATTTGCTACAATATAAACGAAAACATTGACCTACAGTATATTGCGGGTGCGACTCTAATTTAATTATTATATGGTGAATAATTAAATGGTTATTGTAGGACATAACTCTATCATCTAAATTGTTGCGTCCTGCTCCTATGAGAGCCTTTCAAGATCTTGATAAGCTGCCTCCAAATCCCAAGGCCGAGTATGTTCCTGGAGTGTACATCAAGACTGCTAAGGACAATATAATTGATCCTATGCGTCAAGACCAAATGGTGGAGAATTGGCCAGTTTTTCAGAAGTATGTCTTGGAGGAGAGTGATCATTCTCCTTTCTTCTCTGTGCCAACTACCTTATTCGCTTATCTCCTTCATGCGGTTTCTTCTCTCCAAAGATAAACTTCAACTTCATGTTTTTGATTAATAATTTCTGTGTCCTTCGTACATTTCCCTCTCATAGCTAATAATTCAATGGGAGGAATGATTTGGGTAATAATATGATAATTTGTTTGGAAGAATGATTTTTTTTTTTTAGTAGTTTATGTTTAGTTTTATTTCTTTTGAGTTTAAATAAGCTTTACAAATGCACAAAACAGAGTGCATAACCCAACTTATATATATTTTAACAATTATATGCCAAATGAAATTGAGAAACAATAAACTTAAATTTCTGTTTATTATTTTATATAGTAGTAATGCATGAATTCAGGTTTATAAATATATGAACAGATTTATACGCGTCGGAGATGCAGATCTATGATGATTTTCTCTGATTGTGGTTGTTGAAAAAAGTTGTAGACGCGACGGGAAACTTCAAAAATTAAGCTATATGAAATTTCGAAATAGGAATGATTCACAGTTCTTTTAAGTTTTTCCCTTGGGTTAACCAGTTACTAGCTTCCTTAGGGTTTAATTTTCATCAATGGAGTTCAGATTCAGAGATGGTAAAGACAACTAACGTCGGAAGAATGTCCAATTGTCTGAGCGTTAGTTTTGTCTTTTAGCCCTCTCCATTAAAAAACATTTAAATTTATGATTTATGTTTTCCAAATTCTAGTTTGCGTATTTCTTTTCAAAAATTTAGTTTTTGCTTTAGAAATTTTTTCTTATGGGCCGATTGGTAACGACTGTTACTTTCGGCTGTAGAGACTTTCGCTGTAAAGACTTTGACTGTAGAAACTTTGACTGTAAAAACTTTAACTTTAGAGACTTTAGCTGTTAAAATGTGATTGATAACAACAAAACTGTAGAAACGGTGGCTATAAAATTGTGATTTTAAATAAAATAAATTACAGTGAATATAAATCCAAACTGTGATATAACAATGAAATTCACACAAAAAAATTTATGAAAAGTTTTTATACATTCATATTTCTCCATATTTGTATCAAATGTAATATTTGATGTTTTTTTATAAACATAAGTGGATTTTAAAAAAATAGAAAAAATTAATTGTAAATTAGTTAATACTTTTTAAAAATTAATTTTCTAAAGAATTTTATCAGAGGTTTTCATATATTGGGAAAAAGAAAATAAGGAAAACTATTAATTTGTATTCTTTTTAATTTTAAATTCAGGTTTACGTGGCTTTAGAAACAACTGAATTCAAAGAGTAAAAAAATTAAGGACTTTGGAGGCTTTAAAATTATTTAAAGCTAAAAATGTGTGATTGGGAAAAAACACTTAAAGACTTTAAAATTTTTCTAAAGCTTTAAAAGTGTTTACTTTAAAAATTTTTTAAAGCTTTAAAAGTGTTTACCAATCACCTCCTTAATATTAAGTTGAGATTAGGCAAATCAGTTTAAAATTATATATAAAATAATATTTAAATAGAATCCATGGTATCCTAGTTTGTGAATTAATTCCTTCTTACATATTTCATCTCGTGTTTTTTCCTATTTAAAATCATTCGCTCGAAATGGAGCAATGCTATTGTGGATTTTTGGTGAAAGACAATAGCAGAATATAAACAAAAATCCACTGGATTGTCTAGAAAAAGCCTAGTACTCAACTATCGAAAGGAAGGTTAGGCTTTCGAATTATGAAGGAATTTAACCATGCAATGCTTGCAAAATAGCTTTGGTGTCTTATCAGTCGAGTCCTCCGAGGGAGATACTACCGATATACTAACCCAATTTATCAAATTCCCGATAAAACTTTTATCATTTATCCCAAATATTTGCAATTGCATTACAACATAGATTTAATTATACCTGTTATTTGTAATTGTATAATTAATGTAATTTGCATATTTATAACTTCATATACAAAATAAGCTAATACACATATTTTGGTCTTTAAAACACATTAAATAAGATAAGTATAATCAATCCGTACTGTATAGTACGATCCATAATCAAGTAAGATATATATTTTTGGTATCCTAGTCATAAAATGAAATTATCATAGAAAAATAGACATTGATAAACTGGAAAATTCAGAACGAAAAACATGAATTAAATTATCATTTTACTTTCAGTTTGGTCAAAACAATAGTCTTATACTAAGAAACAAGATTCTTCGTTTATCAAAAAAAAGAAAAGAAACAAGATTCTTCATTTTATGAATTCTATATGTCTCCACAAGCAACAATCAGCTGGATTATATGGAGAAGTGGGATGCCACTAACGAATATTTACTTGGCCATTGGAATTTTAAAAGAGAAAAACGAAAAAGATATGTACAATATTTTGAAAATTACGAGTTACGTTATCTATTGACTATCATCTTAAATACTAAGTCAAATAAGTTGGGAAAACTATGAAAAGGCACTATGAAAAAGTCCCTTTAATTTACAATACATATTCCTTTTAATAATAACTAAAAATACAAATTAATATAGAGCTACCTTTGTAAACTCGTTATGTCCGACTTGGACAACCAATAGAGGACGGTTGTTTACATTAGAATGTTTGGTAGACAAACAGAAAAACAACTTCACTGCATGACGTTTATTTCTTACAATCTTACAATCTTAATTGAGTCAACTTAATTCGACATATTTAATATTCTCATATTTGATTATATGAATAGTAAAAAATTAATTGTAAAGCTTATTTAGATACATAGATAGAAATATTTTTCTATTTCATATTAATTGAACTTCCTAATTTATTCTTTAAATCAATGATATTTTTTTATAATATCTTACTAAACAAAAGTTTCTTTTTAAAATATACTTCAAAAATACTAATAAAGATATAATAATACATAACATGCCTTCTATGATTATTATATAAATTAAGGTTAGAAAGATTATTATATAAATCTGTATCCAAAGATTCTGAAGATTATTTTCTCAGTCATATTTTTATGTAAATATTAGTACTATAGTTTGACAAAAAAAAAGTAGTAAATAATAGTTTCTTCATTATAACAACCATAATGACATAAGCTTCAATAATTTATCCCTTTTTACTCCTTTTTCTTTATAATTTCTAAAATAATATACACACAGTCCCAGAATTGATCTCCAAACATACTCGCGAAAATTGATACTCAAAACTTAATTAATTTCATTTTTTTTTTTTTTAATAATTAATTTCTTTTTAAAAAAACAAAAACAAAAATGTTTTAACAAAAAAAAGTAAAATAAAATACAAATAAAGAAGTGAAAGCTCCGTTTCACAACGGCCATTTAGAGAGAAGCACGACATTATTTTTCAACGAAACTTCGCAACTGTTCCTCTTAATTCACACGCGCCGCTTGTTTATCTCTCACGCGCCACCGTCGTGTAAACCATAAAAAAATCTCAAATCTAAAAAACTCTTTCGTTTTCAACTTTTCCTTTTCTTCTTCCTTCTTTATCTTTCTCACTTCTCCTTTTTCCATCGTCCTATCATTTTCTCCTTCTTCTTCACCTCAAGATCTCAAAAACAAAAAGATAAATCAATCAAAACCTTAGGGTTTCTTCTAATTTATGTGTGTGATGATAAGACAATCATCATCGTCATGGGAGGAGTAACTTCATCAATCGCAGCAAAATTCGCTTTTTTCCCGCCATCACCACCGTCTTACGGATTTGTTTCCGACGTTGACCGATTATATATAACAGAAGTACCTCGCCGTGATGATGTTGATGTATTGAAGCTAAAGACTCGTCGTGGTAACGAGATTGTAGCTATTTATATTAAACATCCTAAAGCTAATGGTACGCTTTTGTATTCACATGGTAACGCTGCTGATTTGGGTCAAATGTTTGAGCTTTTCGTTGAGCTTAGTAATCGTCTCCGACTTAATCTCATGGGGTAAGTTTTTATCTTTATCTTTATCTCTGTTTTTTGTATAAAGCTTCGGTTTTTTTGGAGAAAGTTTTGGATTTTACATTCCAAATTTGACTAATTTGGGTCTTTTATGTATCTCTTTGATATTTTGTTAAATTGAATAAAAGATTTGGTTTTGGATTGGTCATTAACGACGGATGTGTCTTTAGGTAAGTGGTTAAATCTATTTAACTCTACTTTCTCTACCGGAGTTGGACTTGAGTTGCGTAGTAGGAATTTGCTATGGATAGGGTCTTGTCGATGTAAAACAAAAGAATGATTGGTCATTAATGATGTTTATATTCCTGGTATTGTTACAACATAATGACAAATGAAAGTCAGAGATTGATAGCCAGAATTTATTCATATAGTCTCCATCTAAGTTTTTTTCTTAATGTTTTGACATTTCTATTGAAATAGTTTTGACTTTTGTGATGCAAGCATTTTCACTACAACTGTTTTAGTCATACTTCTTCTCTGTTGTATAAGAAGAATTTGGACTCTGAGAATGCGATTTCGCATATCTTCATGCATACTTGCTTAGGCTTCAGTGTACTCAATATTAACTAATTTCTACATTGACTAGATCTCTGTGAAGACTTAAAATTGGTAACATTGCTTGTGTTTGCTACAAGTAGGAAAAGCTTCTCCACTTAAGTTGTTTTCTTGCAGTCGTTACGGTTTATAATCCAATGATGAGTAGGCGATAGTTCTTTAATCCGTTATTTGGTTTTTCCTTTTACAGATATGATTACTCTGGTTATGGTCAGTCTACTGGAAAGGTAGTATCATGAGCTTCTAACTTTTTATTTCAAAATAACTATATAAAAGTGTATCTAAACCGTCTTGTTAGAGAGTCCACAGATTGTTTTTGATTGGTTTAAGTTTGTTACTTGAATCAGGCAAGTGAATGTAATACATATGCTGATATAGATGCATCATATACCTGCCTTAAGGAACATTATGGTGTTAAAGATGATCAACTGATCTTATATGGTCAGTCTGTTGGTAGTGGACCAACGATTGATCTAGCTTCACGTACGCCTAATTTAAGAGGGGTGGTTTTGCACAGCCCTATTCTGTCTGGGATGAGAGTTTTGTATCCGGTTAAACGTACATATTGGTTTGACATTTACAAGGTAATTCATTTAACATTTCAGACATGTTTGTTCTGGTTTTCGTGTGTTCATGCTTACACGCCTAATTCCTTGTTTCAGAATATCGACAAGATCAGTGCAGTTACCTGTCCTGTCTTAGTAATCCATGTGAGTAAATGATCATTCCTCTTTCATTACCGTCTCTTTCGCTTTCCCTTCGATCTTCTCATTATTGGTGGAATCTTGTTGTCATCTATTGCCTCCACAGATTCTTGCAATGAATTAAAACTTGTAGGTTAATTGGACTATTTGACAAGAAAATGTTTGGTGAAACTCAAGTTGTTGAATTTATGAGATATTTATTGAATAGCCAACTTGAGTATTACTCCAATATGAATCAAATGATGATCTGTCTCGTCTTATGGCATTACTTTGGAACTAGTTTTCTCCCGGGAAACATGTATTAGTTGACGAAATCATCGTGTTGTGCCTTAAACATATTAGTGACATTAGTACTCTTAATTTAAATCACTGAGAGAATTTTAACTCTCTTGTTTGATCTGGTAGGGGACTGCAGATGAAGTGGTTGATTGTTCTCATGGAAAACAGCTTTGGGAACTTTCAAAAGAGAAGTATGAACCTTTATGGGTATCTGGAGGAGGACACTGCAATCTAGAACTCTATCCAGAGTTCATAAAACATCTGAAGAAATTCGTAATCTCTATCTCCAAACCCAAGGGACCAAGAAATGGTTCGAACAAGACTGCAACGACGGATACAACTAAAAACCAGAGTAAGCCTTCAGAGAACGGTCGTTCTGATACATTTCAACTTGGTTGCTGCCTCCCAGAAGTTTCTAGAAACAGTGTAGACAGTCAGCTGGAGAAATCTAAGAAGACTAGTAAACCCGAGAAGTCCCGAATGAGCATTGATAGGTTTAGAAGGAAAAAAGGTCTAGTCTGGTGACATAAAGCGGTCAGAACCATCACCAAAACAGGTTATTTGTAACTCCTGTTTCTGTAATCCATGTATTTTGTTTTCTCTCTGCGGCCACTAAATATGTTTCTGCATAAATTTATAACGTGTGTTTTGTTTTTTTCTCAGGCTTGTGTATGTATTTTCTGATAGAAACAGATCAAACTCAAAAGTCTTGATTTCATATTTGGTTGTAACTTTTTCATGGTACAAAAGCTGTAATGACTGACTAGTTTTACATTAATACCACCTGGTTACTTTTCCCGTAACAAGAAAACCCCGAGACCTGAACATAACCGAAAATCCGAGTACTAGACTTTAGATAATATAATGTGGTTTTATAGGATCGATCGAACATTCATATTCATACTTGTAAAGAATAATTTCCGCAGCCAGGCTTTGAACCCGGAATAAGCAAGATCAAAGAGATCATTAGAGCATACAGCTTGTGTGCTACAACGGATCTTTTGATATTATGAGAATATATACTATACATATAGATTTATATGAAGATTTTATTATAGACTTAATATTTTGTTTAACAGATTTTAGGGTAAATTTGCATTTATATTTTCGATTTTTTAAAAAAATATATTATGTTATTAGGATAAAGTTTTTGATAAAAAAATTTCATACAATCAATCTCAAATTAAAAAAAAAATTAACAAAAAAACTATTTCCGTTGTCGGCCTTTGAACCCGGGATGAGCAAGGATCAAACAGATCATTGGAGCATATAGCCTATGTGCTACAACGGATATTTTGATTGTATGTGAATTTATACTATAAATATAGATTTATGCGAAGATTTTATCGTAGACAATATTTTCCCTTTTTTTAATTTAATGTTAGGGTAAATTTGCATTTATATTTTTGATTTTTAAAAAAAAATATATTATGTTATTAGGATAAAGTTTTTGATAAAAAAAATTCATACAATCAATCTCCAATTAAAAGAAAAATTAACAAAAAAATAATTTCCGTTGCCGGGCTTTGAACCCGGGATGAGCAAGGATCAAACAAATCATTCGAGCATATAGCCTATGTGCTACAACGGATCTTTTAATTATATGTGAATTTATACTATACATATAGATTTATGCGAAGATTTTATGGTAGACATTATTTTCCCTTTTTTTTAATTTAATGTTAGGGTAAATTTGCATTTATATTTTCGATTTTTTTTAAAAATATATTATGTTATTAGGATAAAGTTTTTGATAAAAAAAAATTCATACAATCAATCTAAAATAAAAAAAAAATTAACAAAAAAATAATTTCTGTTGCTGGGCTTTGAACACGGGATGAGCAAGGATCAAACAGATCATTGGAGCATATAGCCTTTGTGCTATAACGGATCTTTTGATTGTATGTGAATTTATACTATACATATAGATTTATGTGAATATTTTATCGTAGACAATATTTTCCTTTTTTTTTTTAATTTAATGTTAGTGTAAATTTGCATTTATATTTTCGATTTTTTTAAAAATATATTATGTTATTAAATTCATACAATCAATCTACAATAACAAAAACAAATTAACAAAAACAAATTAACATCCGTTTCGATTTTTTTTTAAAAATATATTATGTTATTAGGATAAAGTTTTGATAAAAAAATTTAATACAATCAATCTACAATTAAAAAAAAAAATTAACAAAAATATTATTTCCGTTGCCGGGCTTTGAAACGGATGAGCAAGGATCAAACAGATCTTTGGAGCATATAGCCTATGTGCTACAACGGATCTTTTGATTGTATGTGAATTTATACTATACATATAGATTTATGCGAAGATTTTATCATAGACAATATTTTCCTTTTTTTTTAATTTAATGTTAGGGTAAATTTGCATTTATATTTTTGAATTTTTTTAAAAATATATCATGTTATTAGGATAAAGTTTTTGACAAAAAAAAATTCATACAATCAATCTCCAATTAAAAAAAAAATTAACAAAAAAAAATTTTCCGTTGCCGGGCTTTGAACCCGGAATGAGCAAGGATCAAACAGATCATTGGAGCATAGAGCCTATGTGCTACAACGGATCTTTTAATAATATGTGAATTTATACTATACATATAGATTTATCCGAAGATTTTATCGTAGACAATATTTTCCTCTTTTTTTAATTTAATGTTAGGGTAAATTTGCATTTATATTTTCGATTGTTTTGAAAAAATATATTATGTTATTAGGATAAAGTTTTTGATAAAAAAATTCATACAATCAATCTCCAATTAAAAAAAAAAATTTAACAAAAATATAATTTCAGTTGCCGGGCTTTGAACCCGGGATGAGCAAGGATCAAACAGATCATTGGAGCATATAGCCTATGTGCTACAACGGATCTTTTGATCGTATGTGAATTTATACAATACATATAGATTTATGCAAAGATTTTATTATAGACTTAATATATATATATATTTTTTTTAACTTAATGTTAAATTATATTAAAAAGAAAAATAATTGTTTTTACAACTAAAATGCTTCATGAGTTTGAAATGGAATTTGATAAAATTAAAATTTGAGAATCCTTAAAATACTTTGTGATTTAGACTCGAGGGAGTAGCCACCATTGGTATGCCTCATTATACCGCCTGTCTCCCATTTTTCGGATTGTTGAAATCCTGTTTCTCACTTGTTTATCTATCCAAGCCGTGATCAGAGCTCCCGAGTGTGGTGTGTCTCCATATCTTCGTCCATTCCGTTCTCTCCAAATTGTATGAGCTGTGGCTTTAAAAACATATCGAGTAATGTCGCTACTCGATCTTGTTGATGGTTAGTTTGATATTTTCCTATTGTGAAGATATCGAGTAATGTCGCTTCTCTCTCTCAAGGTGATTTTTCAAGCGATGGGCGCCTTTTGTATAACCGTTTTCTCCTTAGTACCCCCTGACTTAGAAACGAACTGACCCAGAGATCCATTCTCTAGAAATTCATAGCAAAAACCAAGCAGAGAATTGAGAAACAATGTTAACATGAGATGTTTGGCTCATGCTTGCGACTTCGTTGATAAAATCTTCACAATTTCACATTGAATCCTTCAATACTTTCACTGCAATATTACTATCATCGCGTAAATTCCCTTTATATACAGTTCCAAATCCTCCTCGTCCAACAACTTCTGTAAAAGATTTTGTAATTTTCTTAAATTTTCCATAAATTCCCTTTCTCAGGGTTACTAACGTAGAGAATTTTTCTTTCTTCTCTCCCAAAACAAGAATGCTTGAATCATCACCACAAACATAACTACTATTGACCTTGCAACTGAAATATACAAATAATCATTTCTTTATACAGTTCAAAACAATTTTCGAAACAATGACTTTAGTCAAACAAGACTAACCTGCAAAATTTAGAGGACCAATGAACAAGATTGCATACACAAGATTACATGAGATTCAAGATGTATACGTTCACGTTGTAGTATGGCAACTGATTCTTGATCCCGATACGTTCTTGCAGCAATCCTGTCTGGAAAATTGGAAGCCACAGCATCCACCTGAGGGTAAACATTCTTGACAAAATATCTCATTAATCATCTTCAGCTTCACTTTCCAAATTTGTCAAATTCAAAACTTTTTCCTCTGGAACAAAACTTGTATAGGAACTGTGACACTAAAACTCTCATCACAAAGTTTATGATAAGTAGAGTTTTGAATAACAGAGCCAAGACCTTTGTTAAAGTCCCAAGGAAATTGCGACAAGGGTCACAAGCGTAGAACACAATGAGGCTTTTGTAAGAAGGTAAATTCTGGAAGAGATCTGAGGGAAGGGTGACGGTAAAATTGCAAAATTGTGTTTTTCTTACCAATACAATAAAATCACGATTTTGGTGGGAAAATTATGGAATTGCCTTTTCCCGCCAAACGGTAAAATCGTAAAATTATTTTTTCCCACTAATACAATAAAATAACGATTTTAAAGGGAAAATTGCATTTTCCCGCCAAAACCGTAAAATCGGAAATTTGCGTTTTCCGTCAAAACCGTAAAAGTGTGTTTTCGCCAATACAATAAAATCACGATTTTGGTGGAAAATTTGTGGAATTGCGTTTTTCCGTCAAAACCGTAAAATCGAAGAATTGCATTTTCCCGCCAAAATCGTAAAATTGTGTATTCCAAAAAATTGTGGAATACTGTATATCCTTCAAAACCGCAAATAATTTAGTAAGAAATGATTTATTAAAATTTAAATATTTCATAAAAAATAGAAACTTACAAATATAAAATATAATAATTTGAAAATTATTTAGTTGTAATTGTAATTAAAATCATAAAAATATGATTAAAATGAAAATATGTCAATTGACTTAATTCTTGTAATTAGGCTGCCCATTGTCCATATGGTCAAGCCCATATTGTCCACAGACAAATCTGGTCTATATGCCGAATTAGACCATTTATTTTTTGGTCTGGAACATAGCCCGCCCGTGTGCATTTGGACTGGGCAAGCCCACGGGCGGCCCGCCCAATTGACAACTCTATCAAGGGGAGAAATGGAGAATGAAGCAAAGCAGAAAGGAACTGAGAAATCTTGTCTTGAAAGTCTAAGAATGTTGGATTTTTTTGTCTATATTGAGGACAGTATAGTTGTAGCCTGAGATCATAAGAGAGGTTGTGCTGAACCTTTTGTTGCACGTAAGTTCAAGAGAAGGGTTATCGCAGAACGCATTGCGGTTTTTTCCAGTGAAAGGAAAACCGGCGGTGATATTGCCACACTGAAACAGAGTTTCACATAACCCACTTGGTTCTTGCTGACTTAGAGCACAAGGAAGATGATAAAACAAGAACATCAAGATCAGACAGAACCCAGTTGTTGCCTTGTTGGGGATCCCATGAGATGTGTGAATACTTCAGCTGTGATTAGAAACCAAAGAATAAAAAAACAAAAAGTGAACTAAAAGAAAGTAAAGGATTGAATTTGTTGACTTTTCTTACAGATGTTGAAGATGGTTTCTTTGAAATCAATGATAGGTGCGTGGATCTGAATTGAATTCTTCATGTGATTGAACAAATTGATTTAATTTTTACATATCTTGTTTCTTCTGTTCTGTATTAATCTCAAACTTTTCTATTTGGAACTTTTTGTTTAGCTTATCATTTCACTCAAGGGTACATTCCAAAAACGATAAGTCACTTGAAGTCATTGGTTATTCCAAAAACCAACTTTTTCGAAAAAAAATCCTTAAGTGATAGCAAGAACAAGTTCTTGATCTCTCATAACATAAGCAAAGAAAGATGGTTTGTTTGGAAAGATAGTTTTCTTGTCATCTAACATAGTGCTATAGCCTATATGACGTATGCAGAATGGAATTGAGGCAGTTCGGAGAACTATGGAAAATCCAAGAAACTTGGAGCTCACCTAAATTTTCGATCCCACAAATTTAGGGAGTAAGACATGTAACTTGCGGACCAAGGATTATAGTGGTCCGTTTTTGAAATGAAACCAGTGAAACCTAAATAGAAAGATTTAGTGTGGGTGCTGACACTACAAGAAATATCTACATTATTAGCAAGAGATAAGAGCTATTATATGTCATTAATAGCGTTTTCATAAACGCTATCTTATGCCCCTGTTATGGTAGACCCCCTACATACGATAGCGTGTTTTCCGTATGTTATTATAGAGCATTCTACCATAGCATTAGGCAAACGCTTTGATATAACGACTTTTTTATATAAAAAAAATTATGTATTAAGTCATTTTTCGTGCTATTATAGGTACTTTCTACCATAGCGTTATTAAAATGCTTTAATTTTTTTATAGCACATTTTTATACGTTAATACATCATATGCAATTAAAATATATATATTTGAAATCCAATTACTTATATGCTACAAAACCAATTTATTAAAAGCATGTTTCTTTCCATAGATCATCAAAAGATACATAGTTTAGTATTCAACACCATTTAAAACAAGGTCTTAAACAAGAAAAGTATTGTAATTCATATGGACTAAACGAAGAACTCCATTGATTTGCTCTTTCTCTCCCTCCAAGAACTTAGGTTGATGTCCACACTTCACTGCCATCTCCAAATCCTCTATAGCTTGGTTCTTTTCTTTGTCGTTGGTTGTCTTTGTATAAGTAAAACAAGTAAGTTTTTCAAATGCTTCTACTAGATAATAACTATGTATAAAACCGTGAGGAAAGAGTGAAATATAGGAACCTGAGATCTCTTTTGCAGAAGCTGCAGCAACAAAAACAGTAGCATAGGAGAAGAGACAGAAGCTGCAGCAACAACAACAGTAGCATAGGACAAGAGAGCACAAACAGAAGCTTGGAGGCGAATCAAGTGCAACCTGAAAAATAACATGATCCGAGTAAGTAATTCAATCACACCTAATATATATACGGAGATCGAAACTGTTAGAGATAATGTTTAAACCATTTTGACAAGAATCAAGAAGAAGATTATATTTACTTACTTAGGCTGAATAAGTGACCAGAAAAAGACTGTCTTTTAACACCAAATCCAGTGAGATGGTCTTAACAAAGTTAGAGCTTAATGGACCATATGAAGTTAAGAGATAAAACCAAACCTGTTTCTTGCCCAATTATATTGTTGTACACCAGCAGAAGGAGCAAATTGGAGCAATAGAAAACCATCTTTTGACAACTTGAAAGCTCCAGACTGCAAAAAAAACAGAAATCAAATGGAAAACTCATACTTGAAAGCTTTCCTAATTTTTTGAGATAAATCGGTTACAAAAAGACAACATTTCTTACTTATAGTGATGAAAGATGTGTAATTTAGTTTTAGAAGAAACAAGATCACGTACCAGTTGATTTAGAATTTCCAAAATATTAAACTTATTCTCTTAAAAGATAAACAAGTTGAAAGCTACGAGAAATAATTCGACGAACCTGACTGAGGCAAAGGAAGAAACAAAGAAGGAGAGAACCTTGACTACGTCACTTCTAGAGACTCCAGGATTCCATCTCTCTCTGCTTCACAACTTACCAAAAGAAAATAATTTCGAAACAAATGTGATCTCACCATATATCCAACAAACAGCGGATACTAAACGCACATACTCCATTTCTCTAGCGTCAAAAGATTCATCCACCCTATAAGAAAGGCAAAACAACAACTATCCTATATCAATCTCCGATGAAACAAACATATGATTTTTCATGTAAGCTGCATTTGATTCAAAATCCAGTTAATAACAATAGCCTTTGCAGTAGCTTTTTTACACATATACCAAAAACTAAGACAAAGTAAGCTTAAAGTTTTGCTATATATCAAGAGGTAAGAATTCAGAACCTACACAAAAAAAAAAGAGATTGTTAATTAATCTCCAGAACTGAGATAAACAAACAAACAAAGACATTTTCTTAGTTCACAAATCTTACCATGAAAGAGTAGTTTATGGCCAGAGAAGAAGCAAGAGAACAAAAAGAGTGACAAAACAAAGTGGGTGCAAACAATGCAATCAAAGCAATGATTCAAATCATACATTTAGCTAGATCTTATCAAATGAGATAAGAAAAGATAAGCCAACTTAAAAACACACGATAGGTATGCTTCATCTTGTAAATAAACCAAAACCAACAAAACTATTTGCAGACACAAATCCAAAACCAACTTACATATGTGGCTACTAAAAACTATGTAATTCCTTTCAAGCAACAAACCCAAAAAAAAAAAGACTCCATCTTCAATGGTTGAATCGATGAAGAGGTAAGAGTAAGTAGTAGTACCTCAAGTTTGGAGCTTCATTACCTAAAGAACAAAAACGTATCTAAAGTCAAAATCAACAATGATGAGATGATTAAATCAACAAAAGGGACCAAAAGAAGAAATCCAAACCCCGTAATTACTACGACCATGTGTTCACTCTTTCTCAGTCTTCGTCTTCACAGTTCTCATATTCACAGTAATTGCCGTCACTTACCAACCACCAGATCCATGGCTTGAATCTGCTCCAGCTCTCACCAAACTCCTAACCGAAACCAAAAACGCAATTTTCAAAATCGGTGAAGATATGCTTCTTCTTCTCCGGTTTCAGCTCCGGCGGTGCAAGTTACGGAGGCGACGATTGAGAAATCCGAGTAGAGAATCGGGAATATGACGGTGAAGATGAGTTTAGGGTTCATAAGTTAAGAAATCTGAAATAGAAGTACCTTTACTGTGTTCCGTCGTGACGACGAGCTTCACTGTGGAGGCCGGCGACGAGCTTCACGCTATGTCTCAGATCCAACAAATCTCTTTCTTCGACTTGGGATTTTTTTTTTTTTTTGAGATATGTTTTATTTTGTGGTAAAGTGAAGGGTTTTAATTTTTGGACTTTGGCGTTTTAAGTTTTTGGATCTAAAACATATGGCGCTTTAAGTGAATTATTTCGCCTAAGTATTGGCGGAACGAGTGATTTTAGCTTTCTATTTGGTGATTTTCTATTTTAGCGTTGTTTCAGTGCTATTATATATAATTCAAATCAAAAATTTATCTTTCATAGCAGTTATGGAAAATGAGCTATCATCATGTGCTATCAATGTGGATATTTCTTTTAGTGTGAAATCCACCCTCGAGATTTGTACTTAGTTTTTATGGGCAAAGAGGGCTAGATATTCAATGAAACTCTGAGAATTGAATTGCTAAGAACGAATGGATTTTATCGATATGAATCAAGTGAGTATAGTGAAAAGTATGAGAATACAAGTGTGTGAAATATTAGGTCTTTGTGAGCCGGTAGGCGATGGTCTTCTCTAAGTTGCCTCCTCTCCTTATATATATAGGACCTCGAACTAGGTTATTAGCTCCGAAATCCTTGCCAACTCCCTCTGGATTCTAGGTCTGTCCCGAGATCTTTGTTGACCTGGTCCAGCTTCGTCATCAAGTTATTGTATGGGCCGATGGGCCAGGTCTGATGCGTAAGGCCCGTTTAGTGTTCTCGCTAATGGATTTCGAGCTCCAACACTTAGAAAACAAAACATTAATCTCGATATTATTCTAGCATGTTTCCATTATTACTGTTATTCCTTTATGTGTTAGATTCATATTAGGAAAGTTTACATTGCGTGGTGTTTAGCAATATGTTAATATTAAATACTATATATATGTATGTTCGCATCTTGTATCAAACACCAACAATATTATAGAACACATCAAATTATATTCTAGTAATATTAATTACCATCCAGTGCCCACAAGTGAAACAGCAAGGTTTGTTGACGTCAATTGTTTGTGATATTTTGCCCCGTTTCAATTATCTCCCTTGTTCATTGGTAATTCTAGGGTTTATCGTCTATGTATTTTATTTTGCTAGTCTAGGGTTTGTCTTTCACGAATCTATGGTTAGATTCGTTTGCGTTTGAAGTTTATAGAAGTAATATTTTTATCTGCTCCGATAGAATAATGAGCTAGTGTCCAGACGGTGTTGGGTTTTGTAGTTTTATTGTTTCTCTGTTTCTAGGGTTTTGATTTTGGAACCTTGTTTATAGTGTCTAATCCGAGTTTCGTTCCTCAAATCTGTGAATAATAATTAAAACTAGCACTAAACAGAATTTAATTTTGTTTGATTCTTCTTTCTTCGTTTTGTAGGATGATTTCCATCGAGGGGATGAGTATTCTTGATGCGATCTTTCACATCAAGAACGAAATAAACATTCTCCAGAAAGAAATCGATTCATCAGGCCACCTAGAAGCAAAAATCCCACTCATTATGGCTTTGGTCAGTGATGAAAAATCCAAGCTGCAACAAGAGCTCGATGATCAGGAAAACAAGGCGAGACAGATTTGCAAAGACCTCGGACTTTCTACTACGGAAGACTTCCCAATGCTTTGCGAGGTTCTCGGAATTTCTCCTACGAAAGAGTACCTAGCAGCAGTGTTCGAGCCATACATGTCTGCTTCTGTCTCTACTGATGTTCCTCAATCTCCTTGCGACTCAAAATTCCCTATAATTTAGTCTTCTTCTTGTTTTATTTTGCGCTTCATTATTGTTATCAAACAACTTCTTCAGATTTAATTAGTTTTGGACTGGAATAAAATAAAATTTACTCCAACATCATCATACAAAAATATAAATATTCCCAACAGTCAAAGAATCATACTTCTGAGTAAATTGAGCTTTCCTCCTCTGATGGCTGAGATGACTCTGCAATATTTTGTATTGGCATATGTAAAAGAGGCTTAGGAGGGGGATTAAGAGAATCCAAACTTCCTTCCATCATCTCTACAACTTTGTTCATTGATGGACGGTCTGATGGGCAGAACTGAATAGACCATAGACCCACCAAGATCATCTTTTTCGCTATATCTTTTTCCTCTTGGGTTAGTCCATCACCAAGAAGCCTTGCGTTATCAAAATTTTCAAGATCCTTGTATATCCAATCTGGGAAGTACGCCGAGCTATTGTTCGTCGTTTTGGACTCTTTCTTTGTTCCTTGCTCCGATCATCTCAAGAACCAACATTCCGTAACTGTACACATCCGACTTGTGAGATACATTCCCATAAACTCTTGAAAACAGTTCTGGAGCAATGTATCCTATAGTTCCTCTTGTATCAAGCAATGATAAGATGCTTTCTTGCTTCTCATAGAGCTTAGCGAGGCCAAAATCAGCAACTTTGGGTTTGAGATTTTCATCTAACAGTACATTCTGTGGTTTAATGTCAAAATGCACAATCCTTTTTTTGCAGCCATAGTGCAAGTATTCTATTCCCCGAGCAACGCCTAGCGCGATTCCATATAGTGTACTCACATCAAGATTCAACGACTGATCCAGAGACCCTTTCTCTACAAATTCATACACAATTGCTCTTTTGGATCCTTCATAGCAGAAACCAAGCAGAGTAACAATGTTAACATGAGATGTTTGGCTCATGCTTGCGACTTCGTTGATGAAATCTTCACAGTTTCCCTTTGAATCTTTCAAGACCTTCACAGAAACCTTACGACCATCGTAACTTCCCTTTATATACAGTTCCAAATTCTCCTCGTACGTCCAACTACTTCTGTAAATGATTTTGTAATTTTCTTCATTTCTCCATAACTATAACGTCTCGAGGTTACAAGCGCCTCGAGGTTCTGCTTTCTCAGAGCATTTGCTTTTCTTCTCTTCCAAATCAGGAATGCTAGAACCATCACCACAAGTATAAATAGATGGAACGCTGCAACTGAAAAATACAATAATAAAGTTAGTTATAATCCCCTCTGAAAGTTTAATACAAGTCGAAAACCGTAATTCTAACCTTTTCCAATTGTTATCAGTATGGAGCGAGTGCTGGGGATTATTTATGCAACAATTAAAGTACTGATGAACAACATTGCAAACAAAAAAGATCATGGATTCTGACATTTAAAATACCAAGTTATTAAGTAATGTTTATGATCTGTTGATTACGTGAGATTCAATATTATGCGAGTTTACCACGAAGTATATCTCCTGTTGTATAACAGCAGGTCAACGTTCTTGATTCGTATGTGCAGCAATATCCGGCATGAAACTGGCAATTTGCGCCAGAGGAAAAACATTCTTGTGGACACCTTTTTATGTGTGTGATAAGGTGATAAACACCTTTTTATTTTATTAAGCATAAACCTTTAATTCATGATACATCATTACTTAAGTGTTAAAACAATAAACACTCGTATTGTTGGTGACTAGATTTAGTTTTTAAACTTGGCTTCAAGATCCTTGACAACATTGACATCTAACTGAAACGCCTGAGCGAGAATATCTGGATTAATTGGGGGCGTTGACCCGAACACAGTGTCTGCGATCGTGATAACACCAGCGTTCTGACTATTTAGTCCAGCAAAAGCCACTGCAGGGGTCTTCCCGATATTCACTTGGAAATGGATCATTCCTATGGGGAACACGAACACGTCGCCGGGGTTCAGCACTTTGGCGAATAAACGGTTATTGTCTTGATTGGAGGAGACAAAACCTACATATAACGTTCCCTCGACAAGAACAAGGATCTCAGTGGCACGAGGGTGCGTGTGAGGCGGGTTTTGTCCATAAGGCGCATAGTCTATGCGGACCAAGGATATTCCCAAAGTGTTTAACCCGGGAATCTGGTCGACATTGACTGTTGTCACGTTGGATTTGACTCTATTAGTAGTGTTTCCTGCCTTGTTGAGGCCTTGGAAGAAGAAATCTTCTGCCTTCGCTTGCTTCGGATCCTTACAAAACTTACCATTCACAAAAACTGCAAGTACAAATATTGAGAGTAATAATTAGTTGAGGAGAATCGAACTTACAAAATAATAAAGGAGAATAATAATTAGTTGAGAGTTCAAGAATTCGAGTTTTATACTTACCACCATTCTTAAGGTCACCAATGGCCACACAGAAGTCTTGAAGTGGACTTGGATCATTAGCTTCGGCAAAGGAAATGACCAAAGCCGATATGGTAATCAAGACGAGAAACATGGGAACCCTCATTTTCAAAGAAAAGGAAAAGTATGTTAATACTAAAATGTCAAATTAAGCAAAAAAACATCATTAGTTGGTATATATCCCAGTCTTTAAACTGCCACAATGACAAAAGTAGTGACCAAATTTCCAACATGCATTTGTGTGTATCTTTTTATCTTTTTCCAACAAGACACGCTTTCAAAAAATCTCAATCAGAATGATACTTTGATTTGGAAAATAAAATAGATATTGATTGTCTATTTCTCATTTATTGCTTGATGATTCACTTGGGTTAATTTGGGCATTTGAAGGATTGAAGTTTGTTTACCCAAATATATTAGAGTTATTCAGGTGATATTATTCGATGATGAAAGTTTTTTTTTTTTGACAGTACTTGAAAGTTTTTTCTAACAATTTTTCCTTGATAAATATTAATATTTTATGATTTTAGATGTAGTTTTAGTAGTAAATTGTTGCATTTCTCTGAAAGGTAGTATTTCTGTTTTATGATCAAGTATCATTAGCTTAACTGGTAAAAATTTTCAGGCAAAACATAGAAGTGAATGACATTTTGGGAAGAAACCATATAAAATGTTCTATTCCCTCGTTTGAAGGGATGTACAGGTCTAGGCCCGAAACTTCTGAATTATTATATATATATATATATATATTTTTGTTTTATGGCTTGTTTACTTTGAGTAGTTTTATCTTTTGTAACAACTTTAAAATAAAGACCTGATTAGGTATCCATGAAAAGCTACATCATAAAGACCTGTTTGAAAAATTATAACAAAAAAACCTGATATTAAGTTACGTTGACTAGTAATAAATAAAGAGGGTTTTGTAGGCTAAAAACGTTCAAATACATTCGAATCAAGGATGCGTAAATTGTAGTAAGGTTTTTTGGTTGAATAAATTTTACATTCATTCAAAAAAAAAATTATCTTGCAAGGTTACACCAAGTATATGATGGAGTCTCAAATAAAATTTAACTTGCGGATCCTAAAAAAAACTCAGAGTAGTTTGAATTCTCTTCTGAGAGCGAAGAAGATTCCCGAAGAGGATCTGGATAATATTGTAAAGAAGGCTTAGGAGGGACTTCAAGAGCATCCAAACTTCCTTCCATCATCTCAACAACTCTGTTCATCGGTGGACGATTTAATGGACATGGTTGTATACACCAGAGACCCACCAATGTCATCTTCTTTGCAATCTCTTTCTCCTCTCTAGTTATCTCATAACCGAATTTCCATGTATGCTCTCCATTTTCAAGATTTTTATAGATCCAATCTGGAAAATAGGATGAACTAGAGTTAGAAGCAGCAGTTTCCTCTGTTTCTTTGTTCTTTGCTCCGATCATCTCAAGGACTAACATTCCATAGCTGTAAACATCAGACTTGTGAGAGACTCTTCCATACATTCCTGAAAAGACCTCAGGTGCAATGTAACCTATTGTTCCTCTTGCGTCTTGCAAGGACAATATGCTTTCTCTTTTTTCGCAGAGCTTCGCGAGGCCAAAGTCCGATACTTTAGGGCATAGATATTCATCTAACAGTATATTTTGCGGTTTGATGTCAAAATGCACAATCCTTGTTTTGCAGCCATGGTGCATGTACTCAAGTCCGCGAGCAACACCTAGCGCGATTCTGTATAGTGTACTTACATCTAGATTTAGTGACTTCTTTTTGGAGAGGATTTGATCCAGCGACCCATTCTCTAGAAACTCATACACAATTGCTCTTTTGGACCCTTCATAGCAAAAACCGAGCAAAGTGATTGCTCGAGTAATTACCCGATACACTTAACCGCAAGGTAGTATATACGGGGTCGATCCACAAGAACCAATGGTACACTAAAGATTTCCGAGACTCGTTCTTAGCTAAAGCGGAAAGGTTGTTTGTTTGGTTTTCAGATTTTAAAATAAAAATGCAAATTAATTAAACGATTTGACTTCAAGACTTAAAGACATTGGGCTATAGGGTATTCAGAGATTAACGAATAATGGAAACATGAGACAAGGAATTCAACAATTAAGCACCATTCTTGAACATGAACACATTTAGACTAATTCTCTTTCAAGACATTAATCACTAAATTTAACTACTCGATTACTAAACTTTCGCATGCAATCTCCTAGTCAAATTCGCATTACCAAACAAGTTCATTTAGTTCACAATGCGTCCTAACTTCAACTTTCGTTGGCTAGAAATACATTGCTCAATTCACATTCTTTCAGGCATTCTATCGAACACTTTTGATGCATAGAAAAACCTAGAATCTACAACAGGGTGATCAATCCTATTCTAGCATTAAGAACATGTGAATCAAAGAACCTGGAGAATGAGAATTCCAAACAACAATCAATCCATCAATCCATTGAATCTCCTATTAGAACCCTAGAACCCAATAGGAGAACTACTCACACATAGAAAAAGAGATAACAAAAATCAATGAAGAAAACATAATGAAATTGTAGAAATAACAAGATAGGGTTTAGAAATCTTCTCCAAGTGTCAAGAGGATGGATTCCTTTGCCCAAAATTGTTTTCAAAACCAAAGAACAAAGTTTAGAACTCAAAAATATCCAAGATCATGTGTAAAGAGTCGAGCATAGGGTTTTAAAACAATAGGAAACGAGCCGGGTCGGATCTGGGCCAAAAGTACGTCTGGGGAAGGGATCGATCGATCCGGTGAGTGGATCAATCGATCCCGAGTCACTGGAAACTGCTTCTCGTCCGTAAGAGGATGGGATCGATCGATCCACTTGTGGATCGATCGATCTGGATCTTCTGGTCTCCAACTCCGCAACTGCTTCAAATGCTCGGCAGAATGACCTGTCTTCACTAATTCGGGTATAAATCTTGAATGCACCGTTAGATTTCCTTCAAACCACTTGTAAGCTCAAGCTAAAATCTTCATCTAACTTGTTTCAAAAATACAGAAAGATCTAACGGTGGAAAGTATTCCATCTGAGGCAAAACGTCTGACACTTCTAAACGAAACTGCATCTCCAAATGTGTGTTTATATCCCAAAACAGCTCGTTTTCCTCCGAAGCAACCTAAAACCTGTAGAGACTCGATAAACGACTAAAAGACTCTAAAAACACACTTTGACTCGATAAAACATATGATGTAAGAAAGAAAACAAAGACTCAAAACCGATAAAAACACAACATATCACAAAGAAACAATGTTAACATGAGATGTTTGGCTCATGCTTGCGATTTCGTTGATGAAGTCTTCACCATTACTCTTAAAATCTTTCAAGATTTTCACAGCAACCTTACGACCATCGCAGAGGTTTCCCCCATAGACAGTTCCAAATCCTCCTTTCCCAACTGTGTGTGAAAATAGTTTTGTAATTTTCCTCACTTCCGCATAACTGTACTGTTTCAGTTGTACTAGCTCATTTAGGTTATTGTCTCTTGGTCTTGGATGAGATGAAGTTCGTCTCTTTTGGATAATGAAACAGAGCAAACATCCGGTAATAAGAGTGGCACCCAAAAATCCACAACCGATTCCAATGCCTAGAAAAAAACATAAGACAAGACCTTCATAAGTTTATGCTATTACTTATTAGGTATGTTCCACTGAGATCATTTTCCTTGAATCTTGGAAGAAAAAGGATAAAACATATACCTATTTTTGCCTTTTTGGAGATCCCTGCATGAATAAATACCAAAATGTCAGTCTAAACGCCAGACAGAACTTAGAATCGTACTTCAAAAAAAATTCAGGTTCTTGTGGAAGAACATTGGAGTGAACTAAGATTGAGATTAGTGTATATCAGTCGGAAAAATGAGTTACAAGCCATTACCCATCTTTCCACAAGTATGCTCGTGAGGCTGATCTTTACAATAGCAGACGAATGCTTTTGAGCTCTGCTTAAAGCCACAAGAACCGCCTGATGCAACGCACTGGGAACAGTCAATTTTAAAGCTAAGTTCGAAACCCTTATCAAGAACCTTCTTTATAGCCTCAAGACTCTGATTTGTCTCTGTTGTCCCCATGGCGGATCGAGAGACAGGAACATCGACGTTTCTTTCACACGATGCACTTAACCCATCTAAGATAGCTCTATTCCCAGGATGTGAAGGGGACGAGACAAAGTAACTTTGCCCACCAACTTCTTCATCACACCCAAGCTGTCTGATGTAACCATTGGGAAGTTTGTCTACACTTGGACCAGAGCAGTTGTAATAAAAAGTTCCTAGCTCGGTGTCTTGAAGAAATGGAAGGACGTCTTGGTTGATTGATCTGTTCTCAGGATGCCAAGGACAAAGATTGTTGAGATAATCCGTTCTGACTAGTCTTATTACACGAGACTCATAGTTCATCTCGAGGATTTGAAACTTAACGGTCGATATAGTAAACTCTGCGAAATCTCCGCTGCAGTTGACCTTGAAAACCGGGTGACCGCACTCCTCTCTCTCAGGTATCCAAAAGGGATAATTAAGTTCTCTCTGATTGCCACAGCTAAACCCAGAAGAGCAGTGTTTGTGACGCTCGTCAGCTGATAAAACACAAGAGGGGATCACACAAAGCATCCATATGATTGTATATGACCAAGAATTTGTTGGAGATAGAGAAAGATTGATCATGGTGGTGCTGTCCTCTGATTTTTTGGAAACTAATAACTATGAAGAGGATGAATAAAAAAAAGAAAGAGAAGAACATGATCATCTTTTACTAACTCAACTAAGACGAATCAATCGTGTTTGTCCAGTTCAAGATGATAGTTGAACTTTTTTAAACTAGATTAAAAAATAAAAGTCAAAAAGACTTCTTCTTCACTGGAAATGAGAGTGATTAGACAAATTAATTATCTCTGACAGCAGAAACTTCCGCATAAACTTCACAACATCTCACAATTATGAGAAGACTTAGTCATATTTTGAGACTTGAAAATTAAAGACAAGATCTGTTCCTTTTTTTTTTTTTGTTATTCTTGGCACAAATTAGTGAAATTACCCATCATACTTGCTTATACTAGATTCAAGATACATGTGCTATCAGGATTACATTGCTTTAAATACTCAAGTACCTACTATATCTAGGATACTTGACCCTATCCGAGTAACAGAACTATATGTTGGATAGTTTGAGTTATAGAACAGAGCAGAAGCAATGAGAATAATCTTGTCTGACAAGTTAAGAGTGTGTTGTCTAAAATTGTTACAGCTAACCTTCAGAGATATATGGATGACCATAATGTTCGCCAAAATTCTCTCTCTCCCAAGAAGGGGAATTTGGCTGTGATGTTTCCACAGTAGAACACAGAGTCGCATGACAAAGAGAGCTTGGTTGCTTAGAGTACAAGGAAGGTTATAGAACAAGAACATGGCCAATGTTACAAAGCTAAACCCTAATAGTGCTGGAGAATTCCTCACTCTTTGTAAGTATATTTTCTTTTGTATGAAAGGAAAATTATAAGAAAAAAGTCTACAAAAGGAAATAAAGTCAAGCTTATGCATCACATATAAGAAAAGTTCTTTTAAACATTTTAGATTTTAAATTACAAAGTCTTTTCTTCAACAAAATACTTATGCAGAAAATAACTTTTCAACTTGTAGCTCAGAATTGTTTGAATTCTCCTCCGAAAACCATGAAGATTCTGGAAGAGGCGTTGCAGAATTTTGCATATAAGGTTTGGGTGGGACTTCAAGAGCATCCAAGCTTCCTTCCATCATCTCAACGACTTTGTTCATCAGTGGACGTTGTGATGGGTAAGGTTGAATACACCAGAGACCTACCAATATCATCTTCTTTGCAATATTGTTTTCCTCTCTTGTTATTCCATCACCAGTTATCCATATATGTTCTCCATCTTCAAGATCCTGATAAATCCAATCTGGAAAGTAAGTCGAACTAGCATTAGAAGCAGCGGTTTCTGCTATTTCTTTGTTCTTTGCTCCGATCATCTCAAGGACCAACATTCTGTAACTATAGACATCTGACTTATGGGAGACTCTACCGTACATTCTTGAGAAGACTTCCGGTGCAATGTAACCTATCGTTCCTCTTGCGTCTAGCAAAGACATAACGCTTTCTCTTTTTTCGCAGAGCTTCGCGAGGCCAAAGTCTGAGACTTTGGGGCAGAGATTGTCATCTAATAGTACATTTTGAGGTTTGATGTCAAAATGAACAATCCTTGTTTTGCACCCATGGTGTAAGTACTCAAGTCCTCGAGCAACACCTAGCGCGATTCCATATAGTGTTCCCACATCCAGATTCAACGACTTCTTACTAGATATGTACTTATCTAGAGACCCATACTTGAGGAACTCATACACAATAGCTCTTTTGGACCCTTCATAGCAAAAACCAAGCAAGGAAACAATGTTAACATGAGATGTTTGGCTCATGCTTGCGACTTCGTTGATGAAGTCTTCACCACTGCTCTTACAGTCCTTCAAGATTTTCACTGCAACCTTACGACCGTCGCAGAGGTTTCCTCCATATACAGTTCCAAATCCTCCTTTCCCAACTGTGTGGGAAAATGATTTTGTAATTTTCTTCACTTCTGCATAACTGTACTGTTTCAACTGTACCAGTGCTTTTAGGTTACGATATTTTGGATGATGTGAAGTTTCTCTCTTTCGATGGCCTGACGATAATACCTTGATCATGATAAGGCCAAATGCAACAGATCCTACAAAACAGAAATATATGTTGAGTTAATGGAAGATCTAACACATTATTTCGAAAGTTATCTGGTCAGAAACTAAGTAACTAACCCAAGAATCCACAAGCGAATCCGATGCCTAGAAGAAAAAAAAATATTTATAGAGCTTAGTAAGATTATGTTTTCTATATATGTTTGGTATTTTTTGCTGAATTTAATTTTCTTGAAAAAAAAATAGACACCTACCTATTTTTGCTGTTTTGGAGAGACCTGCATGAACAACTACCATAAGTAAATTAAATGTCAGTTCAAATCCAAGGCAGAACTTTAGACACGTAACATAGAAAAAAGCTTGAAGAGGAAAGGAAAATATCAGATTCAGACACAAACTAAGATTCAGATTAATTTTGGTTAGCTGAAATATTCGGAGAAACAAAGCAAGAGAAATTATTAAAACAGGGTAAGTGAAATTAGCTGATATTAAGCCTAAGAAACTTGCTGATATTTCAGAAACTTACCAATAATAGATCCTGATGGAATCATTGGGATGCATTCGAGTTCTGATGACGAGTTTCTCTTGCAGCAAACCGGAGTTGCAACATCGTAGGAGCAGATTCCACCAGTTGATTTACATTCTCGACACGGTCTCTCATCAATATTTAGTTTCACCTCGAATCCTTTTTTAAGAACACTTTCCAAATTGGTTACATTCAAACCTTCCTCCTCTGGGGCATAACCTATAGGAACAGTGATGTTGAAACTCCCACCACAGTTATTGTGATTGAAATCATCCTGATTCATCGAGCCAACACCCTTATTTGAACATGTGAAATTCGCAGGATAGTGAAGACGAGGGTTACAGAGGTAGTAAGCGGAGAGGGTCTTGTAGTCTGGCAAAAGCTCAAAGAGTTCGGGAGTCAACATTGCTCCACTGAATGAAATCGAGCAGAATGGACCTGAAAAGTCTTGCCTTACTAATTTAAGAGTACTAGTTGTGATGTTTACTTCGAGAACACGGTACATAAGACCTGAGATGATTAAAGAAGTCGAAGAAGTCGAATTCGATTAATTTTGGCATTGAAGCCCTAAAGATGGATGACCACAAGGTTGAGGCCGAGCCACTCCCCAGAAAGGGAAACCGGCTGTGAGATTCCCGCAACGAAACAGAGTATCACATGGTTCTCGTTGACTTAGAGCACAAGGAAGACAGTTAAAGAAGGACAAGAACAAGAGAAAGACTAGACAAAAATTGGGTTTTGAGAATCTGAAGAGTAATGGAGAGAACATGATTGATCTCTGAATAGTTTAATCTTGGATGGGTTTGGCTTAGGCTGAGCAGATATGTGATTAAGCATAGTGGTAATCTTGAAGGAGCAAGTCAAGCGTGAAAGCGACAGATAAAAAAGACTTGGTGAGTTTTTTAACCATACGTCTTTTTCTCATTGACTTAAGAAGACTTTTCTCATTATTTTTTTTAATTTATTTATTTTTCCACTCACCCGAAAATGAAAGTGTTTCCTTTACTAGTCAACAATAGTCATTGTGGAGAATGTTGGTAACGTATAAGAAAAACCCACAACTCCATTTTTTTTGGATATTTAATGCAAAGAGTATTTCGTCGCTTTCGATCGGTTTAAGCGACCATTGTTCATAAACATATAAATTTGGAAATAGCCATGATTTCTAAAACAGCTCTTAGAAGTTATAGTTTCCAGTTTTCATGACAAATTAAACACTCTCTTTAAAGCCTACTCCAATGTTAGTCTTGAATATACAATTAATCGACGACAAGGAATGTATAAAAGATCAATATCTTTCAGTACTACCATTCGGAGACGTAACTTGAACAAATCATTCCGTGTTGATATCAAATATTTTAGGAAATGTAAGATATCAAATCTGAAATCACTAGCATCATAAGAAAAGAAAAGAAAAAGAAGAAGAAGACAATTTACACGGCAATATTTGGTTCTATTCTATTAAGTCCTGATTATTCAAGTAGTCTAAGGGAAAGTTTTGAAACGCTTATATGCATCACATACAAGAAAGATATACTTGGAAACATTTTAGATTTTAAACAAAGCAAATATTTTCTTAAATCAATTTCTCTTGCATGGTTACACACTTACACCAAGTCTATCTTGGAGTCTCGGAAATAGATTTTCAATTTGTGGTTCATATAGATACCTCAGAGTAGTCCGACTTCTCTTCTGAAAGCGAAGACGATTCTGGAAGAGGCGCTGCAGAAAATTGTAAAGAAGGCTTAGGAGGGACTTCAAGAGAATCTAAACTTCCTTCCATCATCTCAACAACTCTGTTCATCGGTGGACGATTTAATGGACATGGTTGTATACACCAGAGACCCACCAATGTCATCTTCTTTGCAATCTCTTTCTCCTCTCTAGTTATCTCATCACCAAATTTCCATGTATGCTCTCCATTTTCAAGATTTTTATAGATCCAATCTGGAAAATAGTCTGAACTAGAGTTAGAAGCAGCAGTTTCCTCTGTTTCTTTGTTCTTTGCTCCGATCATCTCGAGGACTAACATTCCATAGCTGTAAACATCGGACTTGTGAGAGACTCTTCCATACATTCCTGAAAAAACCTCAGGTGCAATGTAACCTATTGTTCCTCTTGCGTCTATCAAGGACAATATGCTTTCTCTTTTTTCGCAGAGCTTAGCGAGGCCAAAGTCTGAGACTTTAGGGCATAGATTTTCATCTAACAGCACATTTTGAGGTTTGATGTCAAAATGCACTATCCTTTTTCTGCAGCCATGGTGCAAGTAATCAAGTCCCCGGGCAACACCTAGCGCAACTCTGTATAGTGTATTCACATCTAGATTTAATGAACACTTTTTAGAGATGAACTGATCCAGTGACCCATTCTCTAGAAACTCATACATAATTGCTCTTTTGGACCCATCATAGCAAAAACCAAGCAAGGAAACAATGTTAACATGAGATGTTTGGCTCATGCTTGTGATTTCATTGATGAAGTCTTCACCATTGCTCTTAAAGTCGTCCTTCAAGATTTTCACCGCTACCTTACGACCATCGAAGAGGTACCCTCCATAGACAGTTCCGAATCCTCCTTTCCCAACCGTGTGTGAAAATGATTTTGTAATTTTCTTCACTTCTGCATAACTGTACTGTTTCATTTCTACTAGCCCCTTAAGGTTTTGGTGTCTTGGATGATAGGAAGTTCTTCTCTTTCGGATCATGAAACAGAGCAAACATCCTGAGATAAGAGTGGCCCCCATAAATCCACAAGCAAATCCGATGCCTCGAGACGAACAAAGAGACAAGAGATCCATAAGATTATGCTGTTACATAGGTATGTTAAACTGAAATTAGTTTCCTTGAAAGGAAAAAATTAATAGACACCTACCTATTTTCGCTTTTTTGGAAAGACCTGCATGAAAGAAGACCATGAGAAATGTCAGTTAAAATTCAAGACATAACAAACAAAGCTTGAAGAGGAAAGGAAAAGATTTGGTTCGTATGGAAGAAGATTAGCAAATCAAATTCAGACACAAATTGAGATTCATATTAACTTAAGCTAGTTGAAATTTTCAAACAAACAGAGCAAGAGAAATCATTACTCTTCTTTCTGGGATAGCATGTATGCTCGCGAGGCTTATCTTTACAATAGCAGACGAATTTTGTCGAGCTCCAGCCACAAGCGCCTCCTGATGTTACACATCGGGAACACTCACTGTTAAAGCTAAGTTCAAATCCCTCATTAAAAACATCCTCCAGACTCTGAGTTTTCTCTGCTGTCTTCAAGGCAGATTGAGATACTGGAATACCGAAGTTTCTTTCACAAGATGCATTTAACCGACCTAAAATAGCACTATCCCCAGAATGTGACGAGACAAAGTAACTTCGACTACCAATTTGTACCTTACAGTTAAGCTGTCTAATGTCATCATTGGGTTGAACCTCTACCTTTGGATAAGGGCAGTCGTAGTAAAAAGTTGACAGCTTGGTGTCGTAGTAAAAAGTTGACAGCTTGGTGTCGTTAGAAAACGGAAGAACATCTTGGTTGATTGTTGCATTCTCAGGATTCGGATTACAAAGATAGTTGAGATAATTCGTTATGGCTAGTCGTATGATATGAGACTCGAAGTTCATCTCAAGGATTCGGAACTTAACGGTGGATATACTAAACTCTGCGAAATCTCCGGTGCAGTTGACCTTGAAATCCGGGTGACCGCACTCTTTTCTCTCAGGTGTCCAAAAGGGATAATAGAGATCCATATGATAACCACAGCTAAACGCATGACCGCAGCGATTGTAATCAACTGACAAAACACAAGAGGGGATCACATAGAGCATCCATATGATTGTATAGGACCAATGTTTTGTAAGAGGCAGAGAAAGATTGGTCATGGTGTGCTCCTCTGTTTTTTTTTTTTTTTTTTTTGAAATGAAAAACTAAGAAGAGGATGCAAAAACAGAAAAAAAGATAGCTAGATAAGAAAAACTTTTACGAACTCAATTATAAAATGATTTTTTATTTTTTAGTGGAAATGAGAGTGTGAATGGGAAAATTAATAAACGTCTACTACACGGCTCTCACAAGTCACAAGTGACCCCAACTATATGTAAAACGTCTACTACACGGCCAGCAAAATATTAAAAAGACTTGGTCATATTTAGGCGTATATAACAAAATATTAACGCAATAATCTCATCTACACAAATATAATTTGACAGATTTGGCAAGTAAAACGACCATTATGCATAATTTGATGGTTTAGCCATTTACGGTTTAAGAGATCTCTAATACAAGAGTTACACAGAAGGATGTGCACAGTGGCGGACGTACGTTGGTGGTAGTGGTGTCATTTGACCCCAACAACTTTTGAATTTTAACATATTTGCTATTAAAAATTAAGAGTAAATTAGAAAATATTCTTAAATTCTTTATATTGAACCCATTAAAATTCTTAAATTCTTTATATTGACCCCATTAAAATATGTTTAAATTCCTCATTTTTTCTTTGTATCATATATTGACCCCATTAGAAATTGATTCCAGATCCGCCACTGGATGTGCACATCTTTTTCTTTAGGCATATAACAGTTTGACTAAGACATATATTTGACATGAAACTTATACACTTTCTTCAGAGGAGATTGAGTTCTCTTCTTCAGGGCAAGAAGATGGAGGCATAGGGGATGCAGATATATGCAAAAGATACTTAGGAGGAGCTTCAAGAGCACTTAAGCTTCCCTCCATCATCTCAACAACTCTGTTCATCGATGGACGATCTGATGGACATGCTTGAATACATGACAATCCCACAAGAACCATCTTCTTCGAAAAATCTTCATCTTCGTCTTCTGTTATTTGATCCCCGAGAAGCCTTTTACTATCGCCCTGTTCAAGACCCTTGTAGATCCAATCTGGGAAATACCTTGAACTGCTGTTGTTGTTGGATACAGAGTTCCTCTTTCTTGCTCCTATCATCTCAAGAACCAACATTCCGTAACTATACACATCTGATTTGTGAGAGACTTTACCATACATTCTTGAAAACACTTCTGGTGCGATGTACCCGATTGTCCCTCTCGTCTCTGACATCCATAAGACACTTTCTTTACTCCCACAAAGCTTGGCAAGTCCAAAATCAGAAATCTTTGGACAAAAATCTTTTCCCAACAGTATGTTCTGTGGTTTTATGTCGAAATGGACGATCCTTGTCTTGCAAGCATAGTGTAAATACTGAAGGCCTCGTGCAACACCAAGTGCTATCTCATAAAGTTTTCTCAAATCAATCCGCAATGAGGCCTCGCTCGATATGAACTTATCGAGTGACCCATTCTCCACATATTCATATATAATCGCTCTTTTGGATCCTTCGTAGCAAAAACCAAGCAGAGAAACAATATGAACATAAGATGTTCTACTCATACTCGCCACTTCGTTAATGAAATCTTCACCATTTTTCTTGGAATCTTTCAAGACCTTCACTGCAACCTTGAGGCCGTCAGAGAGGTTTCCTCCATAGACAATTCCAAATCCTCCTCTCCCAATTTCTTGGGAAAACGAGTTTGTGATTTCCTTCACTTCTCCATAGCTATACCTCTTCAGTGGTACGAGTTCCTCAAAACTCTCAATTCTTGGATATTGTAATGCTTCTATCTTGTTCAGAAAGTATATGAGCATTGACAAAATCAAACATCCCATACATATAACAAGTACTATCGCTGCAAATCAATTTATTATTGTTAAATAAATATTAACATGAATGATCAAATAATAAAAAAAAACAAAAACAAAACAAAATCTCTCTTGCTAGGAAACTAACCTCGAGAACCCGTCAAGACAAACCCAAAGCTACCTGAAGCAGTTCCGGTTCCGGCCAAAGATGGGACTTCAACATGATCAGAAGAACTGGTTTCAGTGCATTTGATTCCAAGTAACGCACCGGAAAACTCTTTTATTCTATTTGGATAAAAAGAAAAGTCCTCCTTGCAGCAAAACTGAGTTGCAGACTTATCGAAACTGCAAAATCCACCGGATTTTAAACATTTTTTACATGATCTCTCATTGATCTTCAGCTTCACTTCGAATCCTTCTCTCAAGACACTTTCCAAATTCCAAGCTTCTTTGTCAGGTACAAAATTAACAGGAACGGTAACATTAAAAATCGTTCGACAAGTGCCGTAGTATGTTTCATTTTGATACACGGAACCTATCCCTCCCCCTGAACACGTAAAATTCTGGAGGTAAAGAAAGTGAGGGTTGCAGTTGGAGAAAACGATGAGGTTCTTGTAATCTGGTGATTGCTCAAAGAGTTTAGGGGAAAACTCCGTTTGTGTGAATGATCGAACAGAGCATAAGGAACGAGAATAGTCTTCTCTGACAAGTTTAAGAGTGTTGAATGTGGGGTCTAAGTGAAGGACGTTGAACAAGATTTGGGAGATATTTAAATAGGTTTCGTTTGAAACTCGGTCGCAGCTAAGCTTCAGAGATGGATGACCACAAGGTTCGCCACGATTCTCGCCCCAGAAAGGGAAGCTTGCTGTGATGTTTCCACAGTCGAACACAGAGTCACATGACAAGAGAGCTGGGTTGCTTAGAGTACAAGGAAGGTTGTGGAACAGAAATATGACATATATCACCAAACCAAACCCTAATAATGCTGGAGAATTCATCACTTTTTGATAGTTTATTTTCATTTGTACGCTCGGTGAAATCGATAAGAATGGCAAAATTATAAAGAAAAATCTACAAAATTAAAGGAAATGAAGTCAAGAAGTAGAAACGTCTTCAGCATTATTAGGACTAGTTTCCATTGACCCTACACAAGATTCCTCGACAAGGAGTTTTTGGAAGCCCGTAACCAATCAGTCTGAATGTTTTGTCAAGTTTGATGTTAGTTGTTAAAATTAAATTTCGATTAGATGCAAAGAGATAAACTTGTACTTCTTGTAACAAGAAAGATATAAGCTCTGTAATATCAACCAAGTAAATATTTGGATTGAAATTCTGCTAAAACTTAGTATCTTAAAAGGTAAATTATATATTTTGAGTTTAACTCTTTATGTTTCTGTCGCTTTCATTCTTGACTTGGTCCTTTAATTTCTCCAAGTCTCCTGTTCTTTTTTTATTTAACGTATAAGAAAGATTCATTTATAAACCTCAACTCCAATATTTTGATATTTCACGTAAAGAGTATCTCGTAGCTTACGGTTTACTAAGTCTTTAGACCCGACCATGTCAATAACGCATTGTTCATTGATGTTGAATTGGAGGACCATGATTTATATTTTCTAAACTAAACACATCTCTAACAAGATTTGTTTTCCAGTTTTTATGACAAATCAAACGCTCTCTTCAAAGTTTACTCAAATCTAAGCCCTTGACTGGCCCAAAATATCATGTGGATATACAAGTATAATAGTCTAATAGACCACAACGAAGGTATCAAATATCATAATATTTCCATTCTATTCGTAGATATCAAAAATGTTGGGGGAAATGTAAGATATCTAATTACTTGCATCATGTCAAAAGAAGAAAAAAGCACAAGACAATTTATGCAGCCAAAAATTGCATGAACAAAATCATAACCCAGTCGAAAATATTACTTTGGGATAAGTTAACGAGTCTAAAAATTTCACTTTTTCAGATATTCAAGTAGTATAAGGGAAAGTTTTGTAACGCGTATATGCATCACATATGAAAAAAAAAAGATATACTTTGAAACATTTTAGATTATAAACATACAAAATCTTGTCTTCAATTAATTTCACATGCATAATTACACCAATTATATGATGAAGTTTGAGAAATAGATTTTCAACTTGTGGATTTTATCAATACCTCCGAGTATTTTGAAGTCTCTTCTGAAACTGAAGAAGATTCTGGAAGAGGCTCCGCTGATAAATGTAAAGAAGGCTTAGGAGGGACTTCAAGAGCATCCAAACTTCCTTCCATCATCTCAACAACTCTGTTCATCGGTGGACGATTTAAAGGACATGGCTGAATACACCAGAGACCCACCAAGGCCATCTTCTTTGCAATCTCTTTCTCCTCTCTAGTTATCTCATCACCAAATTTCCATGTATGGTCTCCATTTTCAAGATCTTTGTAGATCCAATCGGGAAAGTAAGTTGAACTTGAGTTAGAAGCAACGGTTTTATCTGTTTCTTTGTTCTTTGCTCCGATTATCTCGAGGACCAACATTCCATAACTATAAACATCTGATTTGTGGGAGATTTTGCCGTACAATCCTGAGAACACCTCAGGTGCAATGTAACCTATTGTTCCTCTTGCATCTAGCAAAGACAATATGCTCTCTCTTTTCTCGCAGAGCTTAGCGAGGCCAAAGTCCGAGACTTTAGGGCAGAATGTGTCATCTAAAAGTATATTCTGAGGTTTGATGTCAAAATGTACAATCCTTGTTTTGCAGCCATGGTGTAAGTACTCAAGTCCTCGAGCAACAGCTTGCGCGATTTTGTAGAGAGTACTCACATCCAAATTCATTGGCTTATCTTTAGAGATGAACTGTTCGAGAGACCCATTCTCTAAAAACTCATACACAATCGCTCTTTTGGACCCTTCATAGCAGAAACCAAGCAAAGAAACAATGTTAACATGAACGTTTGGCTCATGCTTGTGACTTCATTGATGAAGTCTTCACCATTGCTCTTAAAATCCTTCAAAATTTTCACCGCAACCTTACGACCATTGCAAAGGTTTCCTCCATAAACAGTTCCAAATCCTCCTTTCCCAACCATATGCGAAAATGATTTTGTAATTTTCTTCACTTCTGCATAACTGTACTGTTTCAGTTGTAGTAGCGCCTTTAGATTATGGTCTTTTAGATGTTGTGAACTTCCCCTTTTTTGGATCATGAACCGCAAACATCCGGCAACAAGAGTGACACCTAAGATTCCACAAGCCAATCCAATGCCTAGTGACAAACAAAAAGACAAGAGTTGTGTGGGATAAATATGTTTTTAGTTAGGTATGTATCTTCTACTTCAATTAGTTTCCTGGCAAGTAATAGGACAAATATATATACCTATATCTGTACTGGAGATATCTGCATGAATGAATACCATGAAAAAAGGTCAGTTCAAAAGCAAGACAGAACATAGAATCGTACTTGAATTAAGCAAATTAGCTTGAAACTGACATGCATAGGAATATGGAGTGGCTGAGGAAATGGAGAAAATAAGTTCTTTTGGAAGAACATTAGAAAATCAGTTTCAAGAAACCAATCTAAACATAATCAGTTAAAACAGAGAAAAATGAGCCATTACCTTTCTTTCCACAAGTATGCGTATGAGTCGTCTCATCTATACAATAGCAAACAAATTTTCTCGAGAGTAGACTATATCCACAAGTACCCCCTGATGTTAGGCACCGCGAACAGTCATTGTTGAATCTAAGCTTGAAACCCTTATCAAGAGCCTTCTTTAAAGTCTCCAGACTCTGATTTCTCTCTGTTTCCCTCAAGGGCCTTGAACGGGCTTAAACGGGTAGGCGACTAAACGGGCTTCAAAATATTTCGTTAAACGGGCTCGGGTCTAAACGGGTTCGGGCTTCAACGGGCCGGGTAGCCCGTTTTAACACTACTACTCAAGGCAGATCGAGAAACTGGAATATCGATGGTTCTTTTGCAAGAGGACCTTAGCTCATTTGAGATGGCTCCAACCAACTCATATGAAGATGAGTGCTCTTTTCTCACAAAGTAACTTTGCTCATCAGTAGTATCCCCACATTGAAGCTGTCTAATGTAATCGCCAGGTGGAAAATCCACCCTTGGACTAGGGCATTCGTAGAAAAAAGTTAGCAATTCAGTGTCGTTAGAAAATTAAAGGACTTGTTGGTTGATTAAAGCGCTCTCAGGGTCTTGTGGACAAAGATTGTTGAGATAATCCATTCTAGCAAGTCTTATGATACGAGAGTCGTGGTTCATTTCAAGGATTTGAAACTTAATATAAGATATAGTAAACTCTGCGAAATCTACGCTGCAGTTGACCTTGAATTCCGGATGACCACACTCTTCTCTATCAGGTTTCCAAAAGGGGTAATAGAGATCTGTCTGCTTGCCACATCTAAACGTAGGACTGCAGTGCTCATAAACTGATAAAACACAAGGGAGAGAATCACAAAGATAAGCCATATTATTGTCAAGCCAAAAGAAGACTTATAATGTGTTTCTTAATATTTGATTATTTGATGTTATAGTATATATATATTTTCGAATAACGAAAAGGTTTCGGGGCTAGGCCTCTACATTTTCTTAGGCCAGAAACCAAAGCATTACGTGCAATTCGAACTAGCAACATCTAGGCTTTGCTGGAGATAGTTTACTAGTTAAGCTATTGACACCTGGTAAATAATAAAATATTTAAAACTAGATAAGTGAAAGTAGGCAATATTAATCCTAATTAAGAAACTTGCTGAGAGTTCAGAAACTTACCAGATGGAATCATTGGGGTGCATATGGGTTCTGATGACGAGTTTGCTGCCTTGCAGCAAACTGGAGTTGCAACGCGGTAGGCGCAGATTCCACCACTGGATTTACATTCTTGACACGGCCTCTCAGCAATCCTCAGCTTCACCTCAAATCCTTCTTTAATAACATTTTGCAAATTGGTTACATTCAAAGATTCCCCTTCTGGAACATAACTCGTGGGAACAATGATTTTGAAACTCGCACCACAGTTTTCATGATAGTTATTATCCCGATGCACCGAGGCAACACCAAGTTTTGGACATGTGAAATTCACGGGATCTTGAAAACAAGCGTTACAACCATAGTAAACATAGAGGTTCGTGTAGTCTGGCAAAAGCTCAAAGAGCTCAGGAGTCACCGTTGTGCTGGTGAAAGTAGCAGAGCAGAATGATTCACTTAAGAAGTCGTCCCTCGCAAGTCTAAGACGGTTAGATGTTTTGTCTATTTGGAGAACACGGTACATCTGACCTGAGATAATTAGGGCAGTCTTGTTCTGGTGACATTGAAGCACCAAAGAAGGATGACCACAAGGTTCTGGTCGGGACTCTCCCCAGAAAGGGAAACCGGCGGTGAGATTCCCACAACGAAACAGAGTATCACATATATGTTCTCGTTGACTTAGAGCACAAGCAAGAAAGTGAATATAGGATAAGAAGAGAAGGACCAGACTGATGAGAGCGGAAGAGAAGAAGGAGAAAGGAGAAGGCCCATGAGGAATCGCAGGCCCAATCCGAAGTATGTCCAGTAGGTCCAACACTAAGTCAATTGACTTAGTCTTTGTTTCAGTTCAGTTTCAATAAGTAGGGATCTTCCACGATTCCATTTCCTATCGTTTCCACGTTTGTAGGAGTTGTAACTCCACGTTTGTTTCAGTTTGTAATTTCCAGTGGTAAGGAGGTGTACTCCAAGTATTTATATCAATGAAAAACAAAACAATAGGTAGTCTTAACTACCACCAAACAATCGTTTATCAATTCTAAGAACTAGAATTCTCTTGGCTTCTGAAGAGGGACCATTACTGACAAGGGTTGGGTTTTCGGAATCTGAAGAGTAATGGAGAGAACATTATTGATCTGTGAATAGTTTAATCTTCGATGGGTTTGGCTTGGGCTGAGCAGATAAGCAATGAAGGATAAACCATGAATAAAAGACTTGGTGAGAGTTTAATCATTTGTCTCTGTTTCGTCATTTGTCTCTGTTTCGTTGACATTAGAAGACTTTTCTCTTCAATATTCATCACATAAAGACGAGATACTTCTAAACATCATTTTTTATACAAAAAAAAACGATATACTTCTAAACATTTTAGATTTTAAACATACAAAATCATTTCTTAAATTAATTTTTTCTTGAGTGGTTTTACACCAAGTATATGATGAAGTATCGAAAATGATTTTCAACTTGTGGATCCTATAAATACCTCAGAGTAGTTTGAATTCTCTTCTGAGAGCGAGGAAGATTCCGGAAGATGCTCTGTAGAAAATTGTAAAGAAGGCTTAGGAGGAACTTCAAGAGCATCCAAACTTCCTTCCATCATCTCAACAACCCGGTTCATCGGTGGACGATTTGATGGACTTGGCTGAATACACCAGAAACCCACCAAGGTCATCTTCTTTGCAATCTCTTTCTCCTCTCTAGTTATCTCATCACCAAATTTCCATGTATGCTTTCCATTTTCAAGATCCTTATAGATCCAATTTGGAAAGTAAGATGAACTTGAGTTAGAAGCAACGGTTTCTTCTGTTTCTTTGTTCCTTTCTCCGATCATTTAGAGGACCAACATTCCATAGCTATAAACATCTGATTTGTGGGAGACTCTTCCATACATTCTTGAAAACACCTCTGGTGTGATATAGCCGATTGTTCCTCTTGTGTCTAGCAATGACAAGATGCTTGCTCTTTTCTCACATAGCTTAGCAAGACCAAAGTCCGACACTTTTGGGCAAAGATTTTCATCTAACAGTACATTTTGAGGTTTGATGTCAAAATGCACAATCCTTGTTTTGCAGCCATGGTGCAAGTACTCAAGTCCTCGAGCAACACCTAGCGCGATCCCGTATAGAGTACTCACATCCAGATTCAGTGACTTCTCTTTTGCAATGAAGTGATCCAAAGATCCATTCTCTAGAAACTCATACACAATTGCTCTTTTCGAACCTTCATAGCAGAATCCAAGTAAAGAAACAATGTTAACATGAGATGTTTGGCTTATGCTTGAGATTTCGTTGATGAAGTCTTCACCATTGCTCTTAAATTCCTTCAATATTTTCACCGCAACCTTACGACCATCGAAGAGGTGTCCTTCATAGACAGTTCCAAATCCTTATTTCCCAACCGTTTGTGAAATGATTTTGTAATTTTCTTCTTTTTTTTTTGAATGTAATGTTAAATTATATTCAAAGAAAAAATATCGTTGTTACAACTAGTGCGACGGGTAGTTTAAAGAAACAGTTTGAAGCAAAGTAAAAAACCAAGAAAACTTAATCTCTTGATGCAAACCACATTTGTAGCCCTTTATCATATCGCCTATCACCCGAAAGTTTTATGGATGAGAGTGCGTTCCGAAGCTGCTTGTCTATCCACCTGATGAGGCGCGTTGCTGGATTAGGAGACTCGCCGTGTCTTCTTCCATTACGCTCCCTCCATATTGTGTAGACCGCCGTTTGAAAAGTGTAGCGAGCCAAAAAACTCTCTACTCGATGATTCTGCATATTTGAGATATGGGTGATGAGAGATTGCCAATCTGTTGAATAGTTAGTACTACATCAGATCTCTTTGTTCGAGCTTGCTTTGCTGCGTGCAAGTTGATTTCTATCTTGTTCAGGGTTTCAGTTCGGTGTCTGCGCCTACGGCGAGCCGACCATGCTTCTGCCACGGTCATGCTACAGCTTATTCCCAAGTCAATAATCCCTCTTTCTCCCACCACTTCCGTGAGCCTGCCAAGCTCCGACCAGTCATCATACCAGAATGAGGTGCCTTTTCCATTGCCAACTTCTACTTTACAATGTGCTTTTGCCACTTCTCTGTACTTGAGCAGTTTCTTCCATATCCATGACCCCAGAACTGAAATACTCTTCAAAGACCAGAATGATTGCTTCTTTAGTAGATTTGTTTCAATCCATTTGACCCACAGAGACTCACTTCTTGAAACAATACGCCAGATTAGTTTCAAAACACACACCTCGTTTGCTTCTCTTAGTGAACGTAATCCCAATCCACCCTCAGTTTTTGGTTTACATATAGCTTCCCACGAGACTTTGGCTTTCGTTGACCATAATTCTGGTCCCGACCATAAGAAAGCGGAACACAGCTTGTCAATTTCTCTTATACACGCTTGTGGTAGTCTAAATGCCGCAAACCAAAAATTGCATACACTCCATAGAACTGAAGTTATTAAATTGAGTCTTCCGGCAAATGACAAAAATTTTGACGTCCATGATGCAATTTTCCTTCTAATGTGCTCAAGTAAAGGGAGATAATCCGAGGAGCTGAAACGCTTGGTTACAAGAGGAAGTCCCAAGTATCTCACTGGAAGTTGACCTACATCAAACGGTAACCTGTTCACTATCGCTTGGTAGATCGGCTCTTGAATTCCCGCCAAATACATTGTCGACTTTTCCATGCTTATTTTAAGTCCAGATCTTTTGGCAAACTCATCTAACACCGTGACTATTCCCTGTATTGATGATTCTCTCCGATCGAATCTTCCCATCAGAGAGAATCATCAAGTCATCCGCAAAACTCAAATGAGTTAAACCAACGTTTCTACATTTAGGGTGGTAGCCAAACTGTCTTAAACCCGCAGCTTTATCAAGAATTTTTGAGAGGACATCCATACTTATGACAAATAGGTATGGAGAGAGGGAACAGCCTTGCCTTAAACCTCTTGCACTTCTGAAGAAACCCACTAATTCACCATTAACCTGAACCGAGAAAGAGACCGTCGTTATGCAGAGAGTGATCCAATGTATGAAATCGGTCGAAAAATTCAAAGCTGTCAGAACGTTTGTGAGGAAATCCCATTGATTTGAATCAAAAGCTTTTGATATATCAATTTTTATAGCGCACCGGCTTGAGATTGAGTCCTTATGATAGTCCTTGACTAACTCTGTCGCCAATAACACATTTTCAATCAAGAGACGGTCCTTCACAAACGCTGATTGGTTGCCCGCTATAAATTTAGGTAGCACCATCTTGAGCCTGTTTGCGATTATCTTTGATATGACTTTATAGAGCACATTGCAGCAAGAAATGGGTCTGTAGTCTTTCATCTCTTTAGCCTCCTTTCTTTTTGGGATGAGCGCTAAAATTGTGGAGTTGATGCCCTTAGGCAAGAAACCTTTTTCGAAAAAAGACTGAACCTCCAAAATGAATTCATCACCTATTATATCCCAAGCTCCCTTATAAAATTCTGAGGTGAAACCATCCGGTCCTGGAGACTTGTCGTTTGGCATCGAGAACAACACATTTTTTATCTCCTCAGCTGAAACTAGTGAAATGAGCATCTCCTTATCAGACTCCGAGCAACGATAAGGTAATATGTCTTGTAACGCAGCCACTGTAATACCCTCAAAATCATTCGGCACCAACTGCAGGAATTCTCTAAAGAATCGTTCAGCCTCTGTCTTGATTTCATCCTCTTTTGTCGTTACACTTCCATCTTGGCGCTGAATTTCTCGTATTGAATTTTGCGCCTCTCGGGTTAACAAAGCTCTATAAAAAGCTTTATTATTCCTGTCCCTGTAGATTTAGATATCGAACTGACTTACTTTATTAAATCATGATACAATGACTTATATAGAGAACATCTCTAGGGTTTACATAAACCGACAATGACTTGAACGACAAGTAACGGGCCTAAACATACGGCCCAAACTCTATCTATAATACTCCCCCTCACGTTGGAGTGTGAAGGTTCTGAACGCCCAACTTGGACATTAAATAGAGAAACTGTGAACGACCAAGAGCTTTTGTAAAAATATCTGCTAGTTGTTCCTCCGTACGAACGTGATGTGTGGTGATGATGCCGTCACGAACCGCATCACGAACCGAATGACAATCTGACTCAATGTGCTTGGTACGCTCATGGAAGACTGGATTAGCGGCAATGTGAAGAGCCGCCTTATTATCACAAAATAAATGAGCTGGCGCAGACTGTTCGATGCCCAAATCTTTCAACAACTTACGCAGCCACTTGATTTCGCGAAGAGCAACAGACATTGCTCTATATTCAGCTTCGGCGGAAGAGTGGGAGACTGTGTCTTGCTTCTTTGTCTTCCAAGAAATAGGCGAGCCTCCAAGCAACGTAACATAAGCACTAAGTGATCTCTGAGTTAAGGGACATTTTTGAAAATCCGAGTCACAATACACGTCTAGTGTTAAATCTTTGCTTGCTTTCAACAAAATACCCTGACCTGGTGAACCCTTCAAAAAACGAACAATGCGTAACGCCGCTTCTAAATGAGCCATCCGAGGAGTTTGCATGAATTGAGACAGGACATGCACTGAGTAGCTTAATTCAGGCCGAGTATGAAGAAGATAAAGTAACCGACCAACGAGTCGTCGATATGGTTTGGGATCCGGAAGAAAGGGACCATCATCCGTCGCGAGATGATGATCTGTCTCCAAAGGAGTATTTGCGGGCCGAGCACCAAGATTGCCGCTATCGGAAATGACGTCGAGAGCATACTTACGTTGAGATAAAAAAATACCTTCAGGCCCACGACTAACCTCTATACCAAGAAAATACTTGAGCCGCCCCAAGTCCTTCATGAAAAAGCA